ACCCTCATTGTTCTTCCCCAGGATTCTGGTCCCAGAGAACCCCTAGGGCCTCAAGAATCAATGACCAATAAGGGATTGGCCAATATTGCCCACAGGGGCCTTCTCCCTTTCAACAGATGCTCCTGAGTGTTGAGCTCAGTGGCACCGAGGGACTCGCTTGTCATTTCTTATCATGCCTTGTGGCAGACCGAACCCACTGAGATACTACTACCTATGGAATGAAAAATAAGCTCATCCCAGCATTCAAAGCTTTTCATGACCTGGTCCTGTATTTCCAGAAATCCCTATAGGTTTTCCAGACTTCAGACAAATCAACTAACCTCTTGTTTAACCATTTGCTCATTCTGCTGTTCATTAACAAATAGTAAATGTGTGTGCACCATGTGCCAGGTCCCATGCTGGGTGCAAAGGGTCATTCTAGCTCTTGCCTCTCCCCCATCACAGAACAGATCCCAACCCTCTTCCTCCAGCACACCAGGTTCTCACCTCTGAGCCTTTGCACATGCCATTCCCTCAGCCTGGTACACCTTTCCCTTTTCTCTGGATTTTTCCTGACTTTCTTTTAAGACCCTGCTCTGATGGGAGTGCCTGGGTGGCTCGGTCAGTTAAGCATCAGACTCTTGGTTTCAGCTCAGGTTATGATTTCAGAGTTCTGGGGTCAGGCTCCACATTCAGAATGGTGTCTGCTTGAGATTCTCTTTCTTCTGCTGTCTCTCAAATAAATAAATCTTAAAAAGAAGGAAGGAAGGAAGAAAGAAAGGAAGGAAGGAAGGAAGAAAAGAAAGAAAGGAAGGAAGGAAGGAAGGAAGGAAGGAAGGAAGGAAGAAAAGAAAGAAAGAAAGAAAGAAAGAAAGAAAGAAAGAAAGAAAGAAAGAAAGGAAGGAAGGAAGAAAAGAAAGAAAGAAAGGAAGGAAGGAAGGAAGGAAGAAAAGAAAGAAAGAAAGAAAGAAGGAGACTCCGCTCAGACATCAGTTCCTCTAGGAAGCCTTTTGTGATCCCCAAGCTGGGTTACATCCTCCCCCCCCGGCCCGTGTGCATGCAGAGCTCTTGGTGCTCACCTGGAACTCAGCCAATCTGCAGGCATCTCTCCTCCATGCGGAGATTCAGGGCCCGAGGAGAAGCATTACCTGTTCCTGTCTCCTAGGAGCTGTGGATCCAAGCAAGGGAGGAATCTAAGCAGATCTGTGGTGGTTATCCATACCTTGGTGAATTAAGGGATGATGGAGGGGACGGCCAAATCATACTTCTGAGGTGCTCATTATATACCAAGATGCCTGCTTGTTGTATTTGTAGAATATTGATCTTCCACAGCAAACACCCAGAGAAGTATCACCGGGCTTGTTTTGCAGACGAGGACACGGAAGTTTCGACGATAAAGGTCACGCAGCAGGTGAATAGCCTCAGGCTCAGGCCAGCAGCCCAAAGAAGTCCCTGCCGTGAGGCCTCTACTTACCTTTCACCCAGCCTTGTCTCCCATACCTGTGGGGGGCAGGGCAGCTCACAAGGCAGGTAGGTGTCCCTTTTTCAGAGCTGAAATCGTCCCCTGCGTTTCTTCCTGAAGATCCCCGCTCTGCATCTGGACTTTTCTCAGAACAAGTGAAGTTATTCACCAAATAACCTCCAGGCTACACCAGCCACGATAACACCACCAAATATAATAGCTAATATTTGTCGAGGCCATTCATTTCTGTGGATGGTACAAGATACACATCAAAGTTTGTTTTTTGAAATAGGGATAGCTGATTTTTCTAGCACCATTTCTCGAAAATATGATCCTTTCTCCCCTGAATTGCCTTTGTACTTTTGTCAAAAATAGATAGTCTTTAACATGTGGGTCTGTTCCTGCATTCCCCATTCCGTTCCACTGGTCTCTTTGTCTTTCTGATGTGATAGATACCACACTGTCTCAATTATTGTAGCTTTATACTAGGTCTTAAGTTAGTCCTTCAACTTTTATCTTTCTTAAAGCCATTTTGGCTATTCTTTGCATTTTCATAAGAATTTTAGAATTAATTTGCCAACTTCTGAAAACTGGTTTTGAGATTAAATTGGAATTATATTGAATCTATAGGTCAATTTAAAGAAAATTGATATTTTGACAATAATGGGTCTTTCAACCCATGGAGATAGTATGTCTCTCCTTCTACTTAAGTCATTTCTAATTCCTCTCAGAAACATTTTATAGTTTTCAGGATAGAGGTTCTGGGCTTTTTAAAAAGGATTTTGTTTATTTATTTGACATAGAGTTACATAGCAAGAGAGGGAACACAAGCAGGAGGAGTAGAAGAGGGAGAAGGAGGCTTCTGCCCAGCAGGGAGCCTGATGGAGGGCTCAAACCCAGGACCCTGGGGATCATGACCTGACCTGAAGGCAGACACTTAATGCCTGAGCCACCCAGGTGCCCCATGAGCCACGAAGGTGCCCCGGTTTTGGACATCTTTTGTCAGGTTTATTGACTTTCTCATTTTGATTTTCTGATAATTCATTGCCAGTATATAGAAATGTAATTGATTTCCTTCAAGTTATTTGATAGCATTATAAAAATCTTTTATGGGGTGCCTGGGTGGCTCAGTCAGTTAAGCGTCTGCCTTTGACTCAGATCATGATCCCAGGGTCCTGGGGTCAAGCCCAGCATGAACTCTCTGTTCAGCAGAGAGCCTGCTTCTCCCTCTGCCTTTACTCCCTCCCCCCACTGTGTCTCTCATGAATAAATAAATTAAATATTTTTTTTAAATTTACAAAAAAACCCTTTTCTCTTCTTATTTACTTTCTGTCTACTTCTTCCATTATTGTGAGAATGATATGGAACTATTCTACTATAACTGTGGATTTGCTTAGTTCTCTTTGCAGTTCTATCCACTTTTGCTTTATTTTGGTGCATAAATGTTTAGGGCTCTTTATTTTCTCTTGAGAAATTGACCCCTTTATCATTATGAAACATCCCTGGTAATATTCTTTGCTCTGAAATTTCCTCTAATAGTAACATAGCCACTCCATCATTTTCTTGATTATTGTTATCATGATACATCATTTTCTATCCTTTTAACCTATTTGTGTCAATATTTAAAGTGAATTTCTTTTTTAAAATTTTATTTTTTCAGTATTCCACGATTCATTGTTTATGCACCACACCCAGTTCTTCATGCAATACGTGCCCTCCTTAATACCCATCACCAGGCTCACCTAACCCCCACCCCCCGCCCTACAAAACCCTCAGTTTGTTTCACAGAGTCCACAGTCTCTCATGGTTCATCTCCCCCTCTGATTTCCCCCAATTCACTTTTTCTTTCCTTCTCCTAATGTCCTCTGTGTTATTCCACAAGTAAGTGAAACCATAGAATAATTGACTCTCTCTGCTTGACTTATTTCACTCAGCATAATCTCCTTGAGTCCCTCCCATGTTGATACAAAAGTTGGGTATTTATCCTTTCTGATGAAGGCGTAATATTCCATTGTATATATGGACCATATCTTCTTTATCCGTTCATCTGTTGAAGGGCATCTTGGCTTTTTCCACAGTTTGGCGACTATGGTCATTGCTGCTATGAACATTGGGGTACGTATGGCCCTTCTTTTCACTACGTCTGTATTTTTGGGATAAATACCCAGTAGTGCAATTGAAGGGTCATAAGGTAGCTCTATTGTTAATTTCTTAAGGAATCTCCACACTGTTTTCGAAGGGGCTACACCAACTTGCATTCCCACCAACAGTGTAAGAGGGTTCCACTTTTTCCATATCCTCTCAAACAGTTGCTGTTTACTGTCTTGTTGATTTTGGCCATTCTAACTGATGTAAGGTGGTATCTCAATGTGGTTTTGATTTGAATCTCCCTGATGGCTAATGATGATGAACACTTTTTCATGTGTCTGTTAGCCATTTGTATGTCATCTTTGGAGAAGTGTCTGCTCATGTCTTCTGCCCATTTTTTGACATGTTTATCTCTTTTTTGAGTGTTGAGTTTGAGGAGTTTTTTATAGATCTTGGATATCAGCACTTTGTCTGTAGTGTCATTTGTGAATATCTTCTCCCATTCTGTGGGTTGCCTCTTTGTTTTGTTGACTGTTTCCTTTGCTGTGCAGAGCTTTGATCTTGATGAAGTCCCAAAAGTTCATTTTTGCTTTTGTTTCCTTTGCCTTAAAGTGAATTTCTTGTGAGCAAGAATCTTGCTTTTTTATCTAATCTAATCTGGTTTTTTTTTTAGATTTTTATCTAATCTGACTACCTGTACATTTAATGTGGGCATTTAGACCATTTACATTTAACATGATTTTTTTTTTGAAGTTTTATACCTTTATTTGACAATCAGCAATCAGTTCTCATCCACATTAACTCTTCAGATTTTTGAAAGTGGTGACTGGTACATAGGTAACCAATGTGTAGAGCTTGTTGGTGAATCTTTAACCTCATTACATTTTCTGGACGACCATATGGATACAATATGCACCATTCCTTATTTCTTTGACACAGACAGCTTTGGTGAGCCTGGTGTCAATGTAAACATCTGGAGTTCCCATCTCTTTCATGGCAAATTTCTGGATCTCTTTGAGTGCCCGGGGGGCACACTTCTTGAAACCCACTCCATGGATGTACTTGTAAATGTCAGTGTGTTCCCTGATCCCTACCTCATGGACAGCCCTTCTCACCACCCTTCTTTGCAAGAGCCATTTGGTCAGGCCCTGGTTGGAAAGCAGATTTAATTATTAATTAATATTTGATTATTAATTTGGTTAGCTTTTTACCCATAAGCTTGCTCTTTGTTTTCTGTTTTTTTACCTCTGTTCTCCATTCAATTTTTCTTCTTTTTCTGCCTTCTTCATGAATAACTGATTATTTTCCTGATTCCATTTAATCTTTTTTTGTTGCCCTAAGATCTTTAGCTTTTTGTCTTGGTATTTTAGTGGTCACTTTAGGGTTTATACTATATATTCTTACTTAACACCGTATTTCTCCAAGTGGTATTATATCACTGCACATTCAATGTAAGAATTCTGTAAGAGTAGTGTTCGCTTTGGCAACACATACACTAAAATTGGAAGCATATAGACAAGATTAGCAAGGCCCCTGTGTAAGGATGACATGCAAATTTGTGAAGTGTTCTACATTTTTTAAAAATTTTGTTTAGCCATGTACAGAAAATATGCTTATGACACAATTTGCTTCGAATTTGTTCCAAGTTGTATATTTGTTTTCCAGTAAAAAAGTTTACAATTTACACCCCCCCCCAAAAAAAAAGAATTCTGTAGTAGTATACTTCTATTTCTCCCCTCTAGGGCTTTATGCTATGGTGATCGTATGTTCCACTTCTCCATATGTTATAAACCCAACACTAACTTGCTGTCATTAGTCTTCAAATATTCAATATACAAAGATGCAAATAGTAACGGAAACTATTTTATGCTAACCTGAGTAATTTCTCTTTCCAGCGCTCTTCATTTCTTTGTGAGATCCAACCCATATCATTTCTCTTCCACACAAATGATATCTAACATCCCTCATGGCACCAGTCTGCTGGTGACTTACTCCTTCAGGACAGAAAAAAATTTTTGAAAAAAAAAATTCTAAATTTGTTGGAAAGTATAAACCCACAGGTCCAAGAAGCTCAACAAATCACAAGCACAAAAGATATAGAAAAAACTACACTAGGTCACATCATGATCAAAGTTCTAGAAGGCAATGGTGAAGAGAAAGCTTTGAAACTATCTGGAGGGAAAAGAAAGACACATTATGCAGAGGAACAAAAATAAGGATGTCAGTGTATTTTCCCTCAGAAACAATTCAAGTGAGGAAACAGTAGAGAAATGTTTTAAAACACTGGGGGAAAACCCTCTTAGACTAAAATTTTAAGCTCAAAAGAATATCTCTCAAGAACAAAAGCCTTTTTTTAACATGTAAAATATGAAATATTCATGGGATTTGCCCTTTCAATCCTATCTTTCAGGAATCATTGTGTCTTCTTTGCTTGATGGCTGTCTGAAAAGTCATTGTTTCATATATTTTTGTACAGTTTTTTAATTGTTCTGCATAGAAGGGTAAATCTGGTCCCTATGACTCCATCTTGGCCAGAAGTGGAAATCATAGCTGTAATTTACTAGGTATTTGTGTGATTTTTCTCCTGCCATAGCCCACGTTCCAGGATGGAAGGGACCATACATACCTGTTTTTACTCTGGGCTGTATCTTCAGCACTTGGCAGAGTGTCTGCACACAGTAGGTTCCAACAATTAAATTCTCTAAACTTCTATGTGGTTGTACTTGGTTTAGTGAATCCCAGGGCTGTTCCATAATTCTCCATGATCTGGAAGATACTTTAGAAGATCCAAATTAAAATAGGAAAAGAGCCATACACCAAGATCAAGGTTGAGAAAGGTCAAAGGAGGAGAAATAAGGCCCAGGAAGGCAGAAAGCCAGAAAAGACAGAAGGAACCCACATCTTTCCCCTCCACACAGCCAGCCTCACCCCAATTCCCCAAAACACTCCCCTTGCACCTATCCCTGGTATGGCCAGCCATTTCCCACCCACCCTGTCCATACCCACATATTCTCCACTTCTTCCCTTAGTTATAGAACCTCAAGTTCAACTGCATAAAATAAAAACTACATTTTCCAGCTTCCCCTGCAGCATAGTGCAGCCATGGGACTGACTTCTGCCAATGATATGTAAGTATTCCTACGTGCCAGTCCCAGGCTATATCCGTAAAGGGAAAGGTCATACTTTGCATGACCTCTTACTCTCCCTTCCTACTGGAGGGGATGTGAATGGGAGTTGAGCCTTATTTCATAAAATTAATAAGGCCAACAAATGAGGAATGACAAGACAAAGGTGGAAGCAGGCTGGATCCCCAGACTGTGGAGCCACCTCACGAGGTCCCAGTAGCCAACTCTAGAACTAGTGTGTGAGGGAATAATGGGATTCTGTCTTGCATAAGCCACTATTATGTGGAGTCCTAGTGTGTGACTTTCAATAGTGCTCAGAACCAGGCACTTGGCTGTTTTTTGGGAAAGGCGAATTACTCAGAAAAGCCTATGTCCAGGAGAAAAGCCATCTGATTCTGACTTGTAACTTTGCACCCTCTAGGGCCAGGGGATCTGGGGCAATTTGATTAGGAAGAAACATCATGGCATCTGTTGCTGTTTGAAGCCTGGTGGGTTCCCATCGAGGCTCTGACTGCAACAGAACACACAGTAAGGAGGAGGTTAAAGTTGGACACAAGGAGAAGGCCCTCCTGGGCAGCCTCCCCTTGCCCTCCCTGTCCCCTTTCTAGGCAGGAATCATTCTTAGCAGCAGCTTACTTCCCCTGCCTTGAGTTGGGCACGCCATCCACAGAGCAGAGAAGGGGAAGGGAGGAAAATTTATGGCACCAATGATGGGGATGATGGTTATGAATGACTGGCTATCCTGCCGTCACCCATCACACTCACAGGAGAACCCTCTAGCGAGCGCTTCAGGGACTGAGTCTTCCTTCCTGCAGGGCACGCTCAGCCCTCACCAAATATACCTAATATTTAGATAAGGGAGTAATGGGGGGATTTAGCAAACACCTTCCTGAAATCTAATACCAATAAATGAGAACCATGGAGTAGCCTACTCCAGATAACCAGCGCCAGAGAGCTAATTAATGCCACTCCTGTCCTGAGCCAGAATGCTGGTGGCAGAGGAACCTGTCCAGGTAATTCATCAGCTTCAGATTTATGGACTCCTCGAGAGCCGACCGCACATCTCCTCCCCTCAGGTTTACTTGAGACACTTTTATCTAGATTTTTTCAAGATCATTGATCTGCTCTGCCACTTCTTAAGGGAGGTGGTGGGGGAGGGGGATGTGGGGAGATGGTGGGGCTAGGAGATGAGCACCGCAGTGGGTGACACCATCAAATATTGATTTGCCAGCAATGATCCAGAAAAAAATCAATCTGTTCAAGTAAGCCAGTTGTTTCCAACTGCCCTAAATCAAAGAATCTTGGTTTCCCATGCAAATCCTTGGATCCTTGATATTGCATTCAAGGCAAGGGGAGAGCCCACTGTGCTTGCACAGACAGGGATTAAGGCTGCAAATAGAAGAGGTGGCAGAGCTCAATTACTTCATTGGTAGAATGGGAATAAGGGGAGGGCTGCATGGTGTTTCCTAGATGCATGAACAAAGGAAGGTATTGAATCATAGAGAAAGGAACAGGGTGTTCCAAACGACCCTCCCGCCCTCCTATACTATCAACATCAAACCTTACGGCACAACAGAGCCCCCACAGTGAAGATTACAGAAATGAAGTGGTGTTAAGAGGTCATCCTGCTTTCAGTCTGGGAAGAGCATGTAGTTCTGATTTTACTGGTGAGTCAGTCAGGATGTGGAGGTCCTACAGCAAAAATCCCATGCAGACCCTCAATGTGCAATAGCAAGGGCCCTGAGCACACAGCTATGATCCCCGTGCGCCAGGCGCCATGCTGTGGGCGTGGCATCACGTCATCCTCCCAACAGCCCAATGAGGCAGGCACTGTGATCTTCATCATCTTAGGTGTGTACACGTGCCTCGGTTTCTCCCTTCAAAAGAAATATATCCTTGTTTAAAAAGGTTTTATCAATAGAGAAACTCATTTCAGGCAGGAACACTAAAATAAAAATTCAATATAACTACAGTCCTGTCCTAAGATTTCAGACTGCCCAATGGCAGAGACCCAGTCAGGTTCTACATCAGGGGGGTGAAGGGATCTACAGTCGAAGCCAGCTGCACAGGACTGATTGGGGTTTCGAGAACTGAGAATGTCACCCCACCCTTCTCACCCTCTCCAGGTGTAATTGAGATGTGTTTTTTCAAGCTACTGCTAACTTCTTTTTTTTTTTTAATTAACATATAATGTATTATTTGTTTCAAGGGTACAGGCCTGTGATTCATCAGTCTTACACAATAAACTACTGCCAACTTCTTTTTATCACTGTTTCCAAAATTTCACCCAGCATACCGCAGGGATCCTTTCTTGGGTATTCCACAGTCATGGTGTTGGTAACAGAGAAGCGGAGTGGCTGCTCCTCCCTTGCCATAACTCCCACCTGCTCTGACTACAGCAGGGCCTCTGGCTTCCCCAAGACCCCCGGGAGACCAGACACCCTCTTTTGTCTGAGGTTCTGGCTGGACTGATGGACAGTTCAGGGGGTCTTGCTGGTCACCCCTGGCAACTGCCTCTGAGTTCTTCCAGAGCCTCCTCTGTGAGAGCAGCCAGTGCCAGTTTCCTCCCAGACACAGCCCTTCACCTCCCTCGCCCCACGGTGCCAGGCACAGGGCTCCACCCATGTTGGCGACTGGGGGACATGCTCATTCAACTGGATAGAGCTTGAAAAATGATCTGACCACGTGCTGAAGAGCTGCCTCAGACCAGGAAGGGAAAGTGTTTATAAATCAAAATCCTTTTGTGTGGGCCCCTGGAGAGCAGAGCACTTCAAAGGAGCCTCCGGCCAATCCTTTTGTACACTGAGGAATCCCTTTCTCTTGTGAATAGCTCTCACTCCCGAGGTGAGACACACATGAGCATGCACATGCACACACACAAATGCACACATAGGTGCACGTGCACACACATTAATACACCCACACAAAGACGCACACACATATAAATAATATGCATCTATAGTGCCAAAATCATATACACTCTCTGGGAAAAAAAACAAACAAACAATTCAAATAACACCAAAATGTAAAGTATTAAGCTTTTCTCCCTGATTAACTCTCCACGTCCTCTCATCTAAGACGCTCGTTATTAACATTTGGGAGTATGTTTAGATGATAGATGTCTCCCTGCTCAGCTTCAGATACTACTTCAATTGATTTTTTTAAATCGCAGGGAGTAGGAAGTTTCAGGACACACAGAGACAGGTTCCTCTGTCCCCATTCTGTGGGTAGCGCAGGGCCACACACTGCTCCTATCCTCCCAAAAGGCAGGGATGGCATGTTTCTGACTGGCCCAGCAGCCCACATTGACTCAGGGCATCTCATGGTTGCTGGAGGCTGGGTTCCCCTTCAGCAGGACTTCTGCTTGCAAGATGGCGGCCCTTCAGAGTGGGGGGTGGACTCTGATCCTTCTCCTGATATCTTCAGGCCAGAACTTGTGGCCATTGGTGACAT